GAACTAATTGGGTATCCTTACTTGGGAGGTGGCAGTGGAGGTGTTGAGGTTGGATGTGGAGGTAGAGTAGGTGTCACTGGCATCCAGAGCCACACTCCTTTGGCCCTCCCCTGCTGTACATGTGGCTGTGCTGGAAAGGACACCCTCTGTAACCTGTCTCCCTCTTCCCCACTCCAGTGGTGTCTCCCAAGTGTTTAGCCTTACAACCTTGCTTGAAGGCAGAGACCTGGCTCAGGCTGGAAGCCAGGGTTGTGTGGGAATTAAAGTCTCAGAGGCAGCCATATGCTCAGCCAGTGGGGGAAAGGAGTTGGTGGTGAATGTCCCTCTTCCTGTCTTTCAGAGGAATGTCCACTCTGACAAGTTGAGCATTGCACTCTTTACTGGGTTTCTCTGCCTTCCTGCCTCACTCTGAACCTTCATTCTAAACTCTTGGCATCCAAATCCTCATTTCAGAATCTGCTGTAAAGGGAGTTCAAATTAGTGCAGTAGGTGCGGCATGAGGAGCTGTGTAAGTCAACAAAGTGCCTAGGCTTTATCTTGGAGAGGATAGAAAGCCACTAAGCTGGGGAGTGTCCCGATCACTGTGTGTAGAAGGTCATCTGCAAAGAACAGAGTACGGGCAGGAGGGGTAATCTTGAGTCCATAAAGAGGTGAAAACAAGAGAGAGGTTGCCTACTTTGAGAAATGCTCAAAGGAGGAGATTCAAGAGGCACTGGTTTAACGAACTTTGTGAAAGTTCAGCATTTTTTCCTAGAGCACTGATACAAAATGTCTTGCTTATCTTAAATGAAAATGATAAAATTTTACATACCATAATGAAATCATTTTTGATAGTTTCTCTTGTATGGACAACAAATTAAGTTTGGTTTTCACCTATGACACTGTCATACACTTTAAGATTTTGCTGGCCTTTTCAAAGTGTGATTAGACAAAACAATCACTAACAGTGTGGTTAGAATTTCATGGATGTCATCTGTTGCAGAAGTTGGACTGTAGCTAAGTTAAACTTCGCATCATAAACTATTAAAAATAAGGTGGTTGCTCTGGTTGGTTTTGCCATTTCTAAAGATTAGAAATATGGTCCAATTTTAAAAATGGGTTTTTTAGTTCAGGGTCTTACAAGAATCAGATCCAGCAGAACACACACACATGCACACACACACACACACACACACACACATGCACACACACACTTCCAGTAAATAATTAGCTCACTCAGTAGTGGAAGTTAAGAAATCTCACAGCCTGCCACCTACAAGCTGAGTCTCAGGAGAGTTGGAGATGTAATTCAGCCCCTGACATCCAGTAGGGCTAGTGGTATAACTCTTAATCTGAGGGCTGGAGAAGATGTGATGAAATATCTCACTTCAAATAGGCAAAAAGAGAAAAGAGTGAATTCCTCCTTGCTCTGCCTTTTATTTTGGGGGGGCCCTCAATAGGTTGGCTAATGCCTACACATACTGAGGAGGGCAGTCTACTTTACTGAGTCCAGAAATTCAATTACTAATCTCATCCAGAAGCTCCCTCATTTAAAAAATGTGGTGTATGTCAGCAGTACACAATAGTTGTATTTGTTTGGTGAATTGGTGCATATATGGTATTAGATTTGGATCATTTTTGATGCTGTGACCCCCATATCCTTCTCTCCTCTCTTTTCCCCTGATCCCCTTCTCAGTCTCTAGAAAGTCTGCCTCCGTCTTTATTACCATCTTTCTTCCATTTTATGCTTTAATTTACTTATATTTTTGGTTCCTTATGTAAAAGAAACCCTGTAGTATTTAATTTTTCATGTCTGATTTATTTCCCTTAACAGTATGGTCTCAAGAAACATCCATTTTCCTGAATATGACATGATTTCATTCTTTCTGGCTGAATAAAAGCCCATGGTTCAAATACACTACATTTTCTTTTTCCATTCATCTGTTGATGTACAGTGTACTTAGACTGTTTTAAGAGCTTAGCTTTAGTGAACTGTGCTGTTATAAACTTGAGTACACCTGTATCGCATAGTATATCTGTAACTTGGGAATATATCCATAAAGGTATAGTTGGGTCAAAAGTTTTAGAGTGTTTTTTTAGGAATGTGCCTACTGGTTGCATTAGTAGTTGTACTAATTCACATTCCCATCAACAGTGACAAAGGTTCTTTTGCCCCTTACATTCCTGCATGCATTTGTTGTGTTTTGTGTTCTTGATGATAGCCTTTCTGACTGGAACAAAATGGAGTCTCAGAGTTGATTTGATTTTCTTTTTCCAAGAAAGGCTAAAGGCTAAATATGATGCACTTTTTAAATGAACTTATTTGCTATTTATACTTCTTCTTTTGAGAAGTGTCTGTTTAGTTCACTTGCCCATGTTTTGATTGGGTCTTTTGTTTTGGGGAGCTTAGATATTCATCCTCGTTGAGAAGAGTAGCTGACAAAAAAGCTTTCCCCATCCTGTAGGTTGTTTCTCACTCTGTTTTTTTTTTCTGTGTAGACTGTTTTTATTGTTTTTCTCAGACTGTTTTTCATTTGATGCAATCCCATTTGTGGATTCTTTACATTACTTCACAGACAACTGGTATTATTAGGAAGTCCTTGCCTAAACCTATGGCTTCCAGTGTTTCCTATAGGATATCTTCCAGCAGTTTCAATAGCTCTATTTTTATATCTAGGTCTTTGATCCATTTGGATTTGATTTTAGTACATGGGAGAGATATAAATCTAGTTTTATTCTTCTGCATATGGGTAACTAAATTTTCCAGCACCATTTTTATAGAAGTTATCTTTTCTCCAGAATGTTTTTGGCTCCTTTGTGAAAAATCAGATGAAGGTACATGAGGTTGTTTCTGTGTCTTCTGTTGTATCTCACTGATCTATATTTCTAATTTTGTGCTGTACCATATTATTTTTGTTGCTATGGCTTTGTAGTATAACTTGATATCTGGAATTGTGATACCTCCCCCTTTGCTCTTAGCTCAGGATTGCTTTGACTCAATATTAAGTTTATTCTAGTTCCATACAAATTTTAGGATTGTTTTTTTCTAGTTCTACAGAGAATGTTGTCCATGTATTAATAGGTGTGTGTTTGGGCTGGGGATTTAGTTCAGTGGCAAAGCACCTGCCTGGCAAGCACAAGGTCATGAGTTTGGTTCCTGGTACTGGAGAAAAACCAAAAAAAAAAAAAAAAATAGGTGTGTGTTAAATCTGCTTATAGTTTTTGATAACATGGCCATTTTAATGATACTAATTTAGCTTATTCAGGAACAGGGGTTGACTTTCCATTTTCTTGCATCCTCTTCAGTTTCTTTCTTCAGAGTACCATAGTTTTTGTTATAGAAGCCTTTACCTCTTTGATTAGGCTGAGTCCTATGTATTTAACTTTTTTGGAAACTCATGCATGGAATTATGTTTCTGATTTCTTTCTCTGTGGGTTCATTATTGGAATACAAGAATACTATTGATTTTTGTGTGTTGACTTTGTAACCTGCCACTTGGTTGAATTTATCTGTTCTGGTGGAATTTTGGGGGTTTCTATATAAAGAATCATATTTTCAAATAAAGATAATTTGACTTTTTCCTTTCCTATTTGTATCTGTTTTATTTCTTTCTCTTGCCTGATGTATTTGGGTAGAATATTCAGTATTGTATTGAACAGGAATGATGAGAATAGGATACCCTGTTTCATTCCTCATTTTAGAGGTAATATTTTCAGTTTTTCCCTATTCAGTCAAATGTTGGCTGTGTTTGCCATATGTGATTTTATCAGTTTGAAGTAAAGTTCTTCTGTAGCTATTTTCTTTATTTTTTATTAGTATATGTTTATAATACATTATAACTACATCCATTGGGGGAGTTGGCACATATACCATTTTGATTCTTTTTAATTCCCCTTTTCCTCCCCCATTCTGAAGATCCCCTTCTTATCTTTGCAAAGTCTGTCTCCCTGTTTCCCATTGTCTTGGTTACTTTTCTCTAGTTGCTGAGACAAAATACCTGACACCCAAAATTAAGGAACAAAAGGTTTATTTAGCTCACATTTTGTGGAGGTTTCACTCTATACTTGGCTGGCTCTGAGGCAGAGTGGCACAAGGCAGAGGGCAGCAGTGCATGGCAGCAGGGAAAACAGCAAAAGCAGCAAATGCACAAGGGGGCTGGGGAACAAAACTCTTTCGCTCCCTTATATTGCAAGCAGGCTACCCCGCCCAGGGGATGTGTAGCACTCACACCATCTCTGTGTCCTCCTCCTGCACAGGCTCAGGATGAATACAAAGGAAGGACCCAGGCCCCTGCTGAGTCACACATTTAGCCTGCTAAACTTCTCACGTTGACACAATGAACAACATTGTAGGACCTTAAGGGCATGTCGTTTTCACCCCAGGGTGTGGGACTGCTGAGTCACTTAGCCAAGCTTCTAGGTTCCTCAGGTTGACACATTGTATTAACCATAACACCCATTTTTATGATGGGTTTCATTCATTATGAAGTCATACTGGATTTTGTCAAAGGCTTTTCTGCATCTATTGAGATGATCCTGTGATTTTTATCCCTGCTTCTATTTAAGTGGTACATTACATTTATTGATATACATATGTTGTACCATCCTAGAATCCCTGAGATGAAGCTGTCTTGGTCATGATGTATAATCTTTTTATTTATAAGCATCTTATTAAGGAGCTTTGCATCTTTGTTTATCAAGGATATGAGCCTGTGGTTTTCTTATTGTATTGAGTCTTTATCTGGTTTTGATTGCAGGGTAATGCTGATTTTATGAAGTGAATATGGAAACAGTACTTCCCTTTCAATTACACTGAAAAGTTTTGAGGATTGTTGGTGTTACTTCTTCAAAGTTCTGGTAAAATTTTGTGTTGAATCTGTAGGATCCTGAGCTTTTTGTAGTTGGTAGAATTTTCATTGTTGTATTAATTTCCTTGTTTGTTATTGGTCTTTTTAGCTTTTTAAAAAATCTTCATGGTTCAATTAGTTTTTTTGAAGGAAAATTTATTGGAGAAAAAGAATGGGATGTAGAAATGGGGAGTAGGGGTAACTTCTGAGAGACAGGAAGGGTACCGAATGGGTTGCCTCAATTTTGTTAGTTCATATGTATCTAGATACTTATCCATGTGTTCCATATTTTCCAATTTATTGGAATACAAATTTTAAAAATAGTTACTTATACTCTTGAGGATTTCAGTTGTGGTTTTTTTTTTTTTTGTTCTTTTTGAGACAGGGTCTCGCTATACAGTTCAGACTGGCCTTAAGCTCACTTTGTAGCCCAGGCTGGTCCTGAACTCACAACAGTCCTCCTGCCTCAGCCTCCTGAGTGCTGGGATTACAGGCGTGTGCCACCATGCCCAGCTCAGTTGTGTTTATTATGCTTTTACCCTTTTTAATTTTGATTATATTGATGTGGGTTTATTTTTCTGTCTTTGTTTGGTGCATTTGGCTAAGAATTTATCAATCTTATCTATCCTTTTAAAGAATCAACTATTGGAGTCATTGATCCTTTGTATTTTTTGTCTCAGTCTCATTGATTTCCACTGGATCTTTATAATTTCTTGCCTTCTATAAGTTTTGAATTTACATTGTTCTTGTTTTTCTAAGACTTTGAGATGCATCATTAGATTACCTCGGATCATTCTGTTTTTCTAATGTATGCACTCATAGCTATACACTTCTCTCTTAGAACTGCCTTCATTGTGTCACACAGAATCTGATATGTTGTATTTCCATTGTAATTTGATTCTAAAATTTCTTCCTTTATTTCTTCCTATGACCTATTGATCATTCAAATGTGTATTACTTAATCTCCATGTGTTGTATTGTTTATGGTTACTTTTGCTGTTGCTATCCAGTTTCATTCCATTATGATCATGAGATTATTTCAGTACCTTTGTATTGAGACATGCTGTATGACCTAAGGTCTGATCTATTTTGGAGAAAGTGCCTGGGTTGCTAAGAAGAATGTGTATCCTGCTGCTGTTGAAAGAAACACTTTGTAGTTTTGTTGAAACTATTTTTTTCTATAGTGTATTTTCTCTCTGATGCTGCTTTGTTGATTTTTTTGTCTGGCTGACCTGTGAAAATAGGGTATTAAAGTCCCCCCGCCTCACCCCATGATTGTATTGATGTTTATCTATCCTTGGCTGCCAAGCAGTTTTTCTTTTGAAATTGGATATGCTGAAATTCAGTGCATATGTATTTTCAGTTGTAGCATCTTCTTGGTTAATTTTTCCCTTTACCAATATGCAGTGAGCTTCTTTATTCTGATCAGTTTTTGTTTGAGATCAACTTTACAAGAACAGCTACCCCTGATTGCTTTCAGGATCCAACAGCACAGAGTATCATTTTCTCTCTTTTCATTGCCAGTCTGTGTTTCTTCATGGATGAGGCATGTTTCTTGTAGGCAACATGTAGTTGGCTTTTTTTTTTTTTTAATCTAACCTACCCCTCTCTGTCTTTTGATTCGGTAGTTGAGACCATTAACATTGAGTGTAATTTTGGAAATATTTACTGATTCCTGTCATACTATTATTTTCCTAGTGCTTGATTTATTTTTAAAAAATTTTCTTTTGTTTACTCTCCCCGTGATCTTTATTCTTTCCTGGGATTTCTTGGTAATGTTGACCTTATTGTCTATGTTCAGGATTCCCTTAAATATTTTCTGTAATGGTGATTTGGTGGTCATGAATTCTTTAGTTTATGTTTTTTTTTGTGGAAGGTGTTCATTCCTCCATCAATTCTGAAGAATGTTTTTGCAAGATACAGTAATATGGATTGTCAATTATTTTCTTTTAGGCTTTGAACAACTTTAAGTTCTCTGGGCCTTTAGGGTTTCATGGAGAAATTTGCTGTTAATCCGATGGGTTTGCCTGTATGTATTTGGTGTTTTTCTCTACTAGCTTTTAGTATTCTCTCTTTGTTCTGAATTTCTGGGATTTTGACTATGATGTGCTATGGAGATGTTCTTTTCTGATTGTGTCTATTTGGGGTTCTAAATGCCCTGTTTACCTGCATATCTGTCTCATTCCAGAAAAAAAAAAGCCAAACTGTTAATCTGGGCACCCTGAGGCCAGAGTGACAAGTAAAAAATATTCTTCAGCATGGGTTTTCCTTTTTGTTTTTTTTTGTTTTTCTCCGGTACCTGGAACCGAACTCACGACCTTGCGCTTGCCAGGCAGGCGCTTTTGCCGCTGAGCTAAATCCCCAGCCCCCGGGTTTTCCTTTTTTGAGACAGATTTTCACTATGTAGTTCACACTGGCCTTGAACTCACTTCATAGACCAGGCTGCCCAACTCCCAGAGAGCCTCCTGCCTCAGCCTCCCAAATGCTAGGATTATAGGCATGCACCACTACATCTGGCCTCCCAAGGTGTTTTAATGTAGCATCTTTTCTAATGTGCCTAACCTAGTGTACTTGTATCTGTTAATCTTTCACATAATTATGTGATATTTCAGCATCTCCTTTTATCATTTTATACTTTAAATCTTATTCACTCTTCTCCTCATCATCTACAGTCCTTTACATGGAGACCTATAGCTTACATAATAGTTTTAGGATTTGAAAAATTAAACACAGTATGTGAGGTTGATTGGAAAAGAAAACATCTTTGATTTGTGCAAAATTCATCCAGTTTATATTTTCCCAGGTAAGCAAAAAAAAAGTATCATCAAATCAAAACTGTAATGGAGAGAATGAAGTATCTTCTAGCTGATATTCAGGCATGTGATTTAATCCAGTATGCTATAAATGAAAGATCCATTAAACTGTGAAATTTTGAGAAGACCCAGATTATAGTGGTACCTTCAAAATTCAAAATGTATTCCTTTTCTCCCACAAGGAATATGCAGTTTTCTTTCATAGGAGGTAAAAAAAGTGCTTTAGTCAATAAAATGTAATGAGGCTAAGTAAAACTTGGAATTGGTAAGAGGTATTTTTAATGTAATTTTGCATTTTTAATACTTTGAGCCCTTGCTGACAGTACACCACAAATTAGTGCAGTGTTACTTAACCGTGGTTCATTCCGCATCTGAAGTGTTTGAAATTTGGGTTTACTCGGCACAGACTGTGGGAAACCACACCAGGAAATGAGGATGAATCCCAAAGCAATCACAGCCCCACAGATGTTTGGGCGGCTTGATGTGGCCACAAATGACTGGACTGATGGGATATTTTCTACCCTTTGGAGGAAAACTCTGAGAGCTAAGAAAGGTAAAAGATGAATTGCAAGTATTATTTTTAATGCCCGATTCTGCATAAAACCCTTGATGGTTGGGTAGAATTGTGTTTTCGGTATAGTATGTTAGCTGATACCAACATGTCACAAATCAGCATGATATTTATCCATGCCAAAGTAATAAAATTATTGACTGGGACATTGAAAGTTCTTGTTTGAAAGCATAGTATTAAAATAACATTTCTGTATCCCTGTGATATCTCAGAATAAAGCAGATATAAAGAGCTATTAAGGGAAATTGATAGCATTGAATAAAGTGACTTTTACTGTAACTATTTTTGCTAAATATTTTAAAAATGTTACTTTTATTTAAGTATAGCTTATTTTTTAAAAAAAACAGGCTGTTCTATAAAAATCACAAGGGAAATGAGTTTCTTTTGGGAGAAATTTGTATAAGTAAAAAAGGGAGTCAATATTGAACTAGCATATTATTCCATGTAGATGGACCCTGGTGTTTGGCTGTTTAAACAAGCATATCAAAGGCTAGTGGTTCATCTGAGGAGTCTGTCACATATGGATGCTGTAAAGTGAACCCAGTGGTCTCAGAATATGAGTTCATGGTATCAGCTTTCCTCTCACTTTGTCTTTTCACTTCTGAGTGGGTAGAAGAGAGCCAAGGGAGTTCTGCAAGGGACAGGAAGAATACCCCGGAGAAGGAGGAGCTTTGAAGAATTACTTCCCGGGTCTGACCTTTGGGCAACAGGGCTCTGTTGACATCTGTTTTAAGGTGGTTCCATTGAAGGAATGTAGCCGATTGACCTAACATCAATTGTCAAAGAGAAGTGTGCTAATGTTAGAAATCTTTCTACTGTGAGAAATCAAATTTTGTTTCTGATTTGATCTCGTAATCCAGTATAAATGCAGATCTGGTGACCAAAAATTAGCTCAAAGAATAGCTTGGAGAGGAGTTTTTCCTTTCCCTATAAAAAGGAAGCAGAACATTCTCTTTCACATGTGACTCATGATTAGATGAACATTTTCCTCTCATTGCTAATTCAGTGAGCTTGACTCGAATTTTCAAAGCATTTCACTTGAAGTAGAATTGTCACAGTGAGTGAATAGCAAAGAGCAGGCAGAAACACAAATGTGGCCATAATGTTGGTAAGAGAAGCTAGCTGGTAGGAAATCAGAGTCAAATGCCTGTGTTTACAGTTGTGTTACTATTGAGCGGTCTGTTGTGTCTGCCATTTTCTCTACCTTCAGTTTTCTCCTTAAATAACTTCTGTCAGGTTTTGTGCCAGTGTTCTCCTGAAATTGTGCTGTCAGGGACTTTTGTGAGTTCCAGCTTGTCAAACACAGACTGCCAATTTTCACCCAAGTCCTGCTCCTAATGATGTCTGACACAGTTGACCACTCTCCTTTCTGAACCTTCCTCCCTTGGTTTAGGGATTCCCCATCCTGTGGACTCCCTCCCATCTCTGCTTTAATGAGATGTTGGAAGAGGGAGGAGTCAACAAAGGAGACCCCACCAAATCAAAATGTTGTATCACCTTGCTCCTCAGATTCCTGCGTCTGTCTGCACCTATCTAGAAGAAACTTAGTTTTAATGCAGTCCCTAAGCCGATGGTTTCCTCATGTTAATTTCTAGCTTTGATACCTGCCTTCAGCTCTCAACTCAGCAACACTCTTTGGATCTCTATGGGACATTAATTTGTGCAAACCAGAATTTATTTCATAGCTCTATCTGTTTTGCCTCACCCGTCTCCCCTATTTCACTTACACACCTCTCCCTCTCTCTTTTTTACCAGCCATGTTCAGCCTCTTACTGTTCTTGGAACATGTCCACTTTTCTTAGCTCCTCTGGGCTACTATAATTCAACACTGTACACTAGGTGGCTTATATACAGTAGACATTTATTTCTCAAAGTTCTGGAAATAGGAAGTCTGATATCAGGGTGCAGGCATAGCTGGGCTCTGGGTTGCAGACTGCTGACTCATGTTGTATCTCCCTCCACATGGCAGAAAGGCCATTGGAACTGTCCCTCCTATAAGGGCACTAACTCCACTCTCAGGGCTCCTCCCTCATTACCCAGTCACCTCTCAAAGCCCCCACTTCCTTAGGAGTTAGAATTTCAACAGATTCAAATTAATTAGGATACAAACATTCACTCTTATTGTTAGTTTAGTCTTGTTCCTACTTTAGGGCTTTTGCACTTCTTCCCATCTACTTCTAGATATTTCCATCATTTTATTCTCCTTCTAGATTCATTGACTACCACATATAAAACAACCATCTTTCTTCTCAACCTGCTTGCTTCTTTTATCTTTTTCCTCTGGTTATTTACTAGATTGTCATTTCTATCCCTCAGAGTACAGGCTCTCTGAAGGCAGGGCACTGTTTCATTTACTACCACGTCCCCAGATCCTAGCACGGGGCTGACACATAGATGACGCTTGATTAATATTGCTCAATGAGCAAGTGACTTTTTGGCTTGATTATGGGCCCTATACTACTCCCATAAAGAGAACTTAAATGTCCATGTGCTAAAATAACCACTGAGAGCAAAGCTTTATTTAACTCTAATGAAAACTATCTCAAATTATAGTGCTTCTTCAACCTTTACAGCTATGTTGTACTTGCATGTAACTGTGTTACGCCTCCTCCCCACTTTGGTGGGATATTCTAGGGGAACACATCTGGATAGTACTTGATGGTCCAGTTGATGCCATCTGGATTGAAAATCTGAATTCTGTTTTGGATGATAATAAAACTCTAACTCTTGCCAATGGCGACCGGATTCCTATGGCTCCAAACTGCAAGATCATTTTTGAACCTCATAACATTGACAATGCTTCTCCTGCTACCGTCTCAAGAAATGGAATGGTTTTCATGAGTTCTTCTATCCTTGATTGGAGTCCTATTCTTGAGGTATGATTGAATCCTTCTTTTGTATAATTAAAAAGGAAAACAGATCCTTTAGCATTCTTTGAGTGTGTGTACCAGTTTTTCTGCAGCTGGCTGTGTAATTGCTTTTTTATGCTAATGTTTCTGGAAGACCCTTGAATGTGCGGGGACTTTCAAACTCTGCTGCTCATAGACTTCCTCAGTCCTCTTCTAATCACTTTAGAGCTGTGATTTCCAGGTAATTGCCAGCCCTGTGTGAATCAATAATCCTACCAAACTGTGTCTGAGGACTGAATAAGTGAAAATTTAATTGAATCAGTTTTGGGATTCATGATATTAAAAAAAGTTCATTCACGTAAAGTTTGTGAACAAGCACTTAGCATATAACTTGAAGGAAGCTTGTTAAAGTTTTATGTAAGGAATTTTCTTTTTTAATTTTTTTTTTTATAAAAAAACTAACAAAACAGCAATGAAGACAAAACCAAAATAACACAAAAACAACAAAAACGATACATGACTGCAAAACAAAGTGATAAGAATTAACAATGGTTGCTACATTACATACTGTTCTTGTCAACGAAGTTGCTCAGTCCACCAGACACAGAATGTAAGATTGTGAGATTCAGTAGTCATAGTACTATTTTAAATTTGAACTTGGAAGTCATATTTGAGATGATAGCTCTTCAATTCATGATGAAGTATATTATTTTATTTTAGCCAACATGTTCTAGAGTATATTGATTAGAACTACATTATAATTAAATGTCTTGTATACCTATATATTTTACTACATTAATATTGTAATTAAGGCAAGATGTTTATTAGATCAGCCATGTGGCAAAATTTTTAACATAGTGAAATTTATTATTTTCATTTATATCATATTTTCAAGACAGTTTTGCTTGAGAGCTTCTTAATTTAAATAAAATACATGTTCATTTTATATTTTTATTACATTTTTAAACTTTCATTTCTATGTGGATATATCCCAACTTTATTATTAATGTCTTTCTAGAAGTTATACAACTCTGTTGCACACAGTTTAGATTTGGTAAAGTGGGAAGATGTGAAAGAGGGGAATATATGACAAAATGATACCCACATAGAGGTGAATGTGTCTCTAAAAATACTTGTAAGGAATTCACATTTCACAATTAAGTTATCTATCCATTACAGAGAATAATGAGCAGAAGTTCTGGACCCCAGCTTCTCAAAAGTAACCACCAATGACAGTTTAAAAAAATAACAAATAATTGGGTCATACCCGGATTCTACTAAAGTAGGTTCTCTGGGAAGGAGACCCTGGACTTGTATGTAGAAGCAGCACAATAGGTGCATTCCACATAGCCATGCTTGGTGACCAAAATTACAGCTCATTCCAAGTGAATCCTTATGTGATTTTTTCCCCAAAATATTTCAAATTCACAAAGGTTTTTGAAAAACTCTTTTATACTGCTAAGGTAATGACTACTTAGAGTCTGCTGTTTATAAAATAAGCTTTCATTATAATGTATGCAGACTGAGGCTGAATAGGATCTTTATGTTAATGCTATACCTACCTAGAAATATTTTTATAGGCTTTAAAATAATGCAGTTCCCACTTGGAGGCTGGAAGTAGCTCAGGATAGCTCCAAGAGGGTGTCAGAAGGAAGATCTTTGAGAAGTGTGTGGGTGGGATTCTGGCAGCTCCAGGTAGCCAAGCTGGGGACTTGTCCCTAATGGAATGTCATTTTTGGTCTCATCAGCATGAAAGCCCTGCAGCATGTCCTTGGGCACGTAGATTCATGGTAAACTCATGAAGTAATGAATAATTCAGAATCGACATCTTATTGCTTCTGTTCAGAACCTTTGACTGTTTTTTAGAATACCAAGTTGAGGAAGGAGCTCTCTTGATGTAGAGGAAACTTGTTTCATCTTAAGAACATGTTATGAAGAACATTGTTATGAATGGCATGCACTTTCTTAATTTTGAATCCCCAATATCGAATGAGCTAAGTTCTCATTTCCCTCAATATTCTTTGATTTTTTTTTTACGTTATTTATTGATTAAATTGGAAAAAGTATACAGAAAACAATAAATTGTAAACTTTTGTCTTCTAGTTCAAAAATATGGGTGTGGGTTTCCTTTGTTTGTCTTTATTTTCTTTCTTCCACTAAGTCATTTCCATGTATATATGCCACTTTGACTTATTCTGCCCTATTTTAGTCAAGACTGATAGATAGATAGTAAGAGCTGAATGTGTGGATTCTAAAGGCAAACACTCTGGATTTGAATTCTAGCTTAGGAACTTACTAACTGTGGGATTCTGGCCAGGTTACTTCCTGTCCCAGGGTCTCAGTTTCCTCATCTGTAAAAGGGGGATAATAGCAGTTCCTACCTCAGAGAGTTGCACTGAAGGATAAAGGACTTAATACATGAGAGAGTCATCAAATTACAGCCATTAGATATGAGTGTTATTGTTGTGATTTGATAGTATTTTCAGAATGGTCATCTACTTGGTGTGCTAATAGGTCTAATTAATACAGGAATGTGTGAACTAACAGGGTTTTCTTAAGAAACGCTCATCTCAAGAAGCCGAAATTCTGCGCCAGCTGTACACTGAGTATTTCCCAGACCTATATCGCTTCAGCATTCAGAACCTAGAGTACAAGATGGAGGTGTTGGAGGCCTTTGTAATCACGCAGAGTATCAACATGCTGCAAGGCCTGATCCCTCCGAAGGTAAGCAGCTCCCCTCTGCAGTTTCCTCCCTACTGGCTGAGCTGTACTGTGCAGAGAACGCAGGATTTGAGATGAGACTGGGTTAGAGTGGAGGGGGATGTTTCACACCATCAAGCCATGGATTTGAAATTTAGTCATTGGTCAGCAAGCTCATCTGTAGTATCTGTCATTCATTTTGAAAACCAGCTCGGTATTCCTAAGGAACAGTTCCTCATCTGTTCCCCAGTTTGGATTCAACCTTTCCGGCATTCTTGGCAAGAACTACTCTCTTTTCCATGTTTAGTGTTTTCCTTGGGCAAGCTTTTGGTGTGAAAATGAAGTAATCACAGTAAAGACGGCTCTTGCTTCTCCAGGAGCAGGGTGGGGAGGTCGGGCCCGAGCACCTGGGGAAGCTGCTGGTCTTCGCCCTGATGTGGAGCGTGGGCGCCGCGCTGGAGGTGGACGGGCGCCGCCGGCTGGAGCTGTGGCTGCGCTCGCGGGCCCCGCAGTCAGTGCCCCTGCCGCCGCAGGCGGACCCGGGGGACAGCATGTTCGACTACTTCGTGGGGCCCGACGGTGAGCCGGCCTGTCCAGGCCATGGGACGCGACCGAGGGCGGGTTTATCCAAATTATTTTTCTATTTGTCCTCTCTCTCTTTCTTTCATCTCTCATCTCTCATCTCTCTCTCTCTCTCTCTCTCTCTCTCTCTCTCTCTCTCTCTCTCTCTCTCTCATCTGTGTCTATCTATTTATCTGTCTGCCTGTCATCTATCTATATCAATCATTTTTCTATCGATCTATCGTTCATCTATATTTAAATGTGGGAGTAAAAAACTCTCAGCTGTAAGATTAAAATTAAAAGCCAAGGATGTCCATGTGCAAAGAAAGCTCATACAGGAATTGTTTCTTTCTAAAAGAATTGTGTCCCAGGTGCATATTTGTCCCACGGTTAAAGATACTGTGCAACAGAGTTTTTATGAGTTAAGGAAGCTTGAAAAGGTGTCTATATCAGAGCTATTTCAGACATTCATTCAATATAATCAGCAATTTATGTGAAAATTACAAATCTGAGATATATTTTTACCAAATGAATGTCTATGTCTATGTATGTCTATGTATTTATCTACGTGTATATCAATTCTACTCTAAATACTTTACCATTACTTGCTGGGCATATGTATTAAGTACACACACACCTAGATGAAAGACACACATATATGCAGTTATATATTACTTATGTAAATATATATGCAATCTTTAGCTAGATGAAAAACTTGTGAGATTAGACATTATTAAATGATTAATGAATTTAGGTACATGTTACTTTTATAATATTCTGTATATTTATGTACACTACATTGTTGAAAACCTACATATTGAAAAAACACAATTCTAAGAGACTTCATATTCCCTAATATACCACTTTGGAAATTTTGACTAAGCATATTGTAACCTGTGTCCTGAGATCTCTAGTTTTACTGATCTTTTTCCCACTGGGGGTACTGGGAAGGCGGCCTTCTGAGATTTCAGTGCTATCTGCTCATTACATGTAGGTGGCAGTTTACTGACGGGAGGATCTGACTGTTCTCTGCCCCCCTCAGGCACCTGGATGCACTGGAGCACATGCATCCAGGATTACGTGTATCCATCCAATACCACCCCAGAGTATGGCTCCATTCTGGTGCCAAATGTTGACAATGTGAGGACCGACTTTCTAATTAAAACCATTGCTAAACAGGGCAAGGTATGGCTTTTAAACTTTTATTAAAAAGAGCATATTTTAAAAGGTCTCTTGAAAATACAAAGCACCTCCATTTATTTCAAAAGTGGTTTCTGTTGCCATTTAGAATAAATGAGAATATGACTGAAATATATTCTTTTTATCACCCCCTACTGAAAATGTTAGAGCAGAATAACCATAATTCATCAATAGTATTGATGTGCATTGAGCAAAAGTGACTTCTGGCTTATTTTTCTGAAGAGAAATCCTTCCGTTTTGATTGGTGACCTGGTTTGCTGTAACCTGGAGCAGTGAAGTGTAAAGCCGGGGTGGCTGAATCCAGTGATTTCTTCTCTCACAGTTCCGGGGGTTGAGAGTCCAGGGTCAGGGTGCTCACAGGAGTGGATTGGTTTCTCCTGAGGGCACCTTGCCCTTCCTCCCACGGTCTTTCTCTGTGGTGCATTGTGGGTATTCCTTTGCACATCCAACTTCCTTTTTATAAGGATACCTATTAGTCTGGATTAGGTCCACTCTAAGGCCTCAGTTTGCCTGAGATATCTCAGTCTACCTGCCTCCAAATATAGCCAGGTTCTGTGATACTGGGGGCAGAGGCCTCATTATATGAATTTGGGGACAGGCATAATTCAGCCCATGACATTTTATTTTATTTATTTCTAACCTCTTTATTTTAGGCTGTGCTCTTAATAGGTGAACAAGGAACAGCCAAAACGGTCATAATCAAAGGATTCATGTCAAAGTATGACCCTGAAAGTCACATGATCAAAAGCCTGAACTTTTCTTCAGCAACCACCCCGCTGATGTTTCAGGTACTGGAGTTTTAGTACTGCTCGTTAAAGCCATGTTTGTGATGCACCATGGAGGGCTGACAGTACAGCTTTTCTCATCTGCTCGTGTCCTCTAAATCTCATCCGAGCTTCCACAGGTGTGAAATAGAACTGACATTTTTCCTATTACTTCTGTTATTCTCTGCAATAGAATCTCCCATTGGTTGGATTGTGACATATAATCTTAAATTATGGAGAAACATGAAATGTATATACAGTTCCAAAAGTGTATATAAAAGGGCTTAAAATATAAGCCCGTGAACATGGAAAATACCAAACTGAAGCAAATAGCATTTATTCTCCTTCCTAGACCCAATTTCTATCCTTAGTATATTTTTGTTTATCTAGCCTTTAGACTAGAGCTTTTGGAATAATTTTTCATAGATCTTTCTTGAATCCAAGTTTGTCTATCACCTATCTATCTTCTATTACCTATCATCTATCTATCTATCTATCAATCTCTCTCTCTCTCTAACACACACACGCGCACACACACACACACACATCTTTTTCTTTGTGCTCCCTATCACCTCTGTGTAATCCACTTCTCCATGATTCCACTCCAAGGTGTTACCATAGGAGAATCTTGATCTGTTCTTCAATTCAGTCTGGTTCGGTTTGGTTAAGTTTGGTTTGGTTGAATTCAGTTCAGTTCAGTTCAGTTCCTATCCGATCCGACCCTATCCGATATGATCCGATCCATTACAAATTTCGTTCTGTTCCCCTCTCCTCCTCTGCCCTCCGATCCCCTCCACCCCTCTCCTTCCCTCTCCTCCCCTCCCCTCCCCTCCCCTCCCGTCCATCCCATCCTGTCCCATCCCAGCTTTTACACCTCTTCAACTCTCCATTTCCTACACTGCCACTTGCATTTTGTTGTTCCCTGACTTCCAAGGTAGGATCTAGAATAGGTCCCTTGAGCAACTGCAATAAAGTGTAAAATCTTAGACTTTTAGCAGATAAAATTTAACTCTAATATATCATATCATATCATATTGGGGTGACATAAAAACCTTTCAAATTTGTATTGCTTTTGTCAGTTTACAGTGGCTGACTGTTTCTTTTTTTCCTATTGGTCCAAAAATTGTGCAAGGCTTTATTATAACCGGAGAAGAAATTCTAAATGTCAGTTGAAGAGTCAATCATTTGCAGATGATCTATCACATTTTTATTAGAACATAAATATGTTATCAAGAAGATTTACCTCATAAATTATAAACAGAGGGGAATTATTTAGAGGAATCTAAACTTCAAGAAAACCTTGTGTTTGATGAACTTTATTTTCCTTTAGTTGTTGAAATTATCAGAGCAATGACAATGGTTAAGGGCATGGTTAAATCATGACTTTTTATCACCTAATATAATTGGTGACAGCAGAGTTCCAATGTGCTAAGAACATTGATTAAATTTCTAAATGCTGTCAATTTCATTAGATTCCTTGTGTTGGAGATGGAATTTCCAATACTGGCTAGCCTGCTGCTAAAGAGTAACATTCATACAATATCTTCATGGGAAGATCTGTATTAAAGGTCAACCTCCAACTGCAGAGATACAGTAGTGGTATTTTTGTGTTTTGGGAGCAGCACGTTAAATTAACCTAGGCTGGCAAGATGTCAACATTAAAGGTATTCCGTTGATACCACTTTCAATTTAAATAACTTTTGTCAGTTTTACTTTAGGATAACGTTCTCTTGAGTGATTCTAATCTTATTTGCGGATGAAGATTTTAAAAAATCAAAGTGTGACATCTTTCCAATTAAGTAGGATAATTATTTAGCTATCTGCGCTTTTTGAGACTGCCAGAAATCTTTAGGGCAGTGTGTAAATCTGACAATAACTCGGAGTTAATGCAGACTTCCTAGGCTGTGGGCACAGTTCCTCACAGCACTGACTTCCTTCAGATGTCAGCCACAAGCTCAGGGGGTCTCAGGCCACCCGCACTTCTGACCAAGTGTGTATAAATTCATTTGACCCGTGATCCTTTCTGTTTCTGTAACTTATTAAAACAGTTTAGAAAATTCAGGAAAGTGCTGTGCTGACTATTGTGGTTTCTTATAAAAGCAAAGCATCAGTATCAGCCCAAAGGAAAGGTGTATAGGGCAAAGTTCAAGAGCGTCCCAAATACAAAGTCCAGGAGGGTCCCTTTCTTGCTCTCAGGATGCGTTGCTCTCCAGACACATAATGTACATCATCAGTCGGGAAGCTCACTGAGCTTTTAATGGAGTTTGACTCAGGACTCATATGAGTACAGTCTTTTCACGTTCCAGGATCAAATGAATAACAAAGATATTCTTATTACTCAGCAAATCCTAAGGCTATCAGACTTCCTGCTAAGAAGGAGCAGCCAAATTATTATTGAATAAGGCCTCATCCTGGTATTTTTCGTTAACAACTGATATTTACCCCAGTAAGGTAGGAAAGATCGGTAGTCAGTGTCTCTTTAACATCAGATATTTATTATAATTTCCTGGAAAATGCCATGTTATCTAGAGAACCTGCTTATTATTTGGTGCACATATTCACAAGCCATGTGGTATATTTCTAGAAGCGATGCCATACTGATAAATAATAATTAGGTAGATGACAAAGCAGGCTTTGGACACATAAAATCCATCTTATTTAGGGTGCCCTTATCTGACTTACACTGCTACTGCCAGATTCTTTTCTCTCCTTCAGGGTGAAGGTAGAGTCATTCTGTAACTATTTCTTCCCCTGTTCGGAAGCTTCATAGGATCATGTGTCTGTTCAGTGCCTGAGCTATTTTGACTGCTAAGTATCAAGGCTCTCTGTTAAGCGAGACTCATTAGTTTTAGAAAGCTTTCAATTAGCTAAACTGCTGTAATTAACTTTCTCACTGTAATTTTCAGTCATTCATACTAAATGGGGCTGACGGAGCAAAGCATTTTTCTCTGTGCTTCCCACTTATCTGGATCCCAACCAAACTGAAATTGCAGAAGAGAAAACAGTATCGTCCCTTGTATGTTACCATGATGGTGCACTGTCCGGTCAAGAACACTCTCCTGTTCCCGGCCAGGTTGTTCTCGCCAGGGTTCCCTTTGTTTTTACCAGTGTGTCATTTTCACGTCTTTTATCAGTAAGTAGATGGTATGGTCCTCTTTGGCTGGAACAGTCCAATTGAATTCTACTGTCTCACATTAATAACTACTACCTCTTGGGGCTGGGGATTTAGCTCAGTGGCACAGTGCCTGCCTGGAAAACACAAGGTCATGAGTTCAATTCCCGGTACTGGAAAAAAACCAAACAAACAAACAAAAATAACTACTACCTCTTATGTCACTATCCAAAATATATAGTCTGGATAAACAAACAGAAGATCTACAGTAAACTGGTATTCCTTTTGGTTAAAATAATTTTCAAAAGGGGGAAATTATTCACTTGTCCTCCAAAATAGTATTGTTTTAATGATTTTTTCCCTATTTTTGATAGTAACCCATTTCATTAAGCATTTAAATAATATAGAAAAGTGAGAAGTGAGGAGAAAGGGAAAGTTACATAACAGAATTTCAGAAATGATTGATTTCTTCTGAAAGTAATCTTAAAATTTTTGGAATACAATAAGCCATCTTACAAGTGGTTGCATAGACATGGGTTTTAATTTTTAAGAATGAAAACATAAAGTCTGGAAGGAAATTCCACCTTTCTTGCAGTCAGAACCACTTTTCCAATTGACTTCTTAGCAGAAAATTAATCTATAAAACATGTAACCAGGAACATGCTTTGGTGAAATCGGGGCTGGGCTCCAGCAACCCCTTCCAGTCTTGTCTTTGTTAGCTGCAAGGGTCCCGTGGTCTTTGAGATTACTTTTGGCTCTTCAGAGGACAGTTTGAAAACTAGTTTCAATAGAATTCCAACAGATAATATGTGTATATGATTTTTATGGCAAGGCTCTCTTAAAATGTCAGGTTTTAACTCCATATTAATGCACTTGGTGGCAGGATGTTTAAGCATTACCAGAATGCAGCTGACTAGTTGGTGGTAGGAGCTAAGCTAGACACCCAGTCCTCATTTGCTCCTGTGCACCTTTCCATCTGCCTTTTTCCAGTGCCCTTTCTTTAGCAGCATTAGTGTGCAATTGGCTGACTTCTCATTTGGGGCACTGTGTATTTTTTAACTTCCAGTTATTCATCATTGCATTTTTCACATTATTATTGATAGAGCATTTTACGTTTTAGAATTACTCTCAAACACTTTAAACTTTGCTAATGTAAGACTGCTTTCATTTGTTTTTAGTGAATTACATGAAAATGGGAAGATATTAAGGCAGAGTATAAGCTCTCTACTTTTATATTTTAGCTAATAGTACATAGATGAAAACCTAAAATTAAGTATATTTTGCGTTTCAATTTGCTTGTATATAGTATTTATGAGAAATGACTGAGGTTTACTTAGAAATAACAAAGTACCTTTATATTTTTTAATGCATAAAGTTCAGCAAGTCTTTTCTCATATATTATTTATGTCTCATACTTTGTTGTTGTGTATATATACCCTTGTATATAGCACACATGCATATGTATGCAAGATTTACATATCTTTATATACATTCTTCTGTGTTATGATTCAGAAATATTTTGTCACATGAAATCACAAGACTAATACATAAGAGAAGTAGTTTAACCTCTCTTTTTCTGCCTTTAAACCCAGAACTGTGTGTGAGGTCAGTGTACAGGTTTTTTGCTGTGTTTGATTCATGGAGACAATTGTGTGAATGGTGAATCTAAGGAAGAGGCAATGCACAGACTCCTCAGTTATACCAGACCCTGGCAATACTGCCTCCAGTGCGCTGTTCCTCCCTTATCTGGGTAGGGAAACAGACACATGTACAACCAAGTATAGCTATGTGGTAAGTGCTTCCTATGGTGTAATCTAAAGACAGTAAAGCCCAGAGGAGAAGGGAATTCACTGCTTTAGGGAATTAGAGAAATAAATGTAGTGAGGGAATTGTCCACTGTTTGGATGGACTTTAATATTTATCTTATATTGATTTTAAGAAGTTAAAAAAGCTGAACTGTCTGTAAGGAATTAATTCAGAAAATTGAGTTGCCCCTGGATTTAGGGCTCCTAGTTTACAACAAAGGACGAGAACATTCCTTACCTCCATTCCTAAAATACTTGATTTTCTAATTACCTAGATGTTATTTCTTAAAACACTGCCGTTACAACTGGGATTAATGCTGGCATTTCATGTCTCTGCAGACAGAAAATGAGATCAGAGTCTCGTTTAGGGTCTGTAGATTGCATAAGATAATGTCATGCTAACTAAGAGTCTTCAGTTTTAAAGTTTTTGTTTATTCCCAGAGAAGCATAGATTGCCCTTAGTCCAATCCTATTAGAGATTTTAATTTCTAAATAATCAATAGCTGGCCTAAAGGAAGGGACATTTACTGAAGATCAGTTATGTTTAGTCAATATTCACAAAGCATGTTCGGCGAATGCTAATCCTGAGAGATTTGGGGTAGTTTAGACGTGGCTATTCTTAGGAGTATGTAAAGAAGATTCCCAAAATGAACTTTGCAAATCAGCCTGTGAGATGAGCATCATTTCATGGTGTGTGTTTTATTTTTATCTGACCACAGTAGAATTAATAAAAACCTTGAGGAACTGGAGCAAAGAAACTGAGGACAGTCTGGAAATGAGGCTGGAGGGGTGAGCGGCCAGTTAGTCCTTAAAAGTCACTGATGAGAAGCCCTGGAGTATGGAGCATGTCACAGTGCCCCCAGGAAGTTCATCCTGGCTTTAGGTGGGCGAGAGATGGCTGCACTCAGAGAAGTGAGAGGACACGGTTGCAGTAAATTCCTTGAGAGGGAGGTTGGGCTGGACCAAGATAATAGAAGTGGGAGTTGAAATGACATGGGTACATCTGCATTGTGGTTGGAGGTGAGACTGATAAGACTTCTGGTTAGGCAAGTGCCTGTTTTTGGAGGAGAGAGAGAAAAGTGGAAGATGACTCTGGGTTTCTTGTATTTATTTATATATCAAATATTTTATCAAAAAATGTTTCATACCTGACACCTGTCTAGACATTGAGGATGGAATGGGAGTTAGATAACAAAGAACCTGCGCTCCCTTACATTCAACAGCAGCCCAGATAAGAATCTAGTAAGTGAATATACCTATTGGATTTTCTTAACTGCATGAGGGTTAATACTACTAAGAAAATGGATGAGGTGGAAAAATAAAGCAAAGATATAGGGAAGAATATGTGCAGAAGCACGCTATAAATATCATAGCTAATTCTTCAGCTAGGTTTTATTAGTCAGCATTTTGTGACTAGATCAAAGTATCCAAGATAACGAATTTACCACAAGAGAAGGTGTACTCTGACATGTTTCTTGAGGTCCAATTCAAGATTGGGTGACCGCGTTGCTTTTGGCCTTTGATAGTGGTGGAGGGCAGAACAATTGCTTATATCATGAACCATGAAACAGAGAGAAACTGAGTCACTGGGGTCCCCTAATCTCTTTCCTGTGACACAAAGTGGTAACTAGGCTCCTTCTGTTAAAAATCCACAACAACCCCCAGTACTTCACCTTGTAACCACGCCTTTAACACATGGACCTTTGGGACACCCTGCACATACACCACAACATTGGGTTGTGGAGGAAGACAGAAAATTCTAGATAGCTGTTTAAGTCACATAATATGGATACTTTATGTGATTTATAAAGAAGTATCTAAGATTGGCTCACGGTAGGGATGGCAGTTTAAGAGACTATGACATTGATGCCTGTGGGAAATGTGAATAACTGAATAAGGGTATGGGATTGCTTGGTGAGGAGGAGATAAAAAGTCATGGGAGGGTGGTACATGCATGTAATCCCAGCACTTTGGGAGGCTGAGGCAGAGGATCGCAAATTCAAGCTCATCTGGGCAATTTAGTGATACTCTGTCTCAAAAAAAAAAAAATAAAAGAAAAAAAAAGAGCCTGAGCTTGTAGCTTAGCAGTGGAATGCCCAAGTTACCCTTCTCCGAATGGGATGTATAATAGAGTTCAGCAGTGTTAGCTGTGGAAATGTTTGGAGGGGGCAGTTCGGAAACTGGTGCAGATCGCTGATAGGCACCTAGGAGGGAAGCAAACTTTGTGGTAACTAAGAAAGAGAAGTTTATATTTGGATGTATTGGTTCTGCGGTGCTGTGGACCTGCATGGGAGGAAGACCAGCGGGAGACGCCGGTCCAAGGAAACACCTCCATGAAGCGATGAAATTATTTTGTTTCAGGCTGTTACAAGGTCTCATCAAACTTCATGATTCACTAGGTAGCTATAGAGTTGCAGCAACTTCTAAAAACATAAGGAAGCCTCAACTTCCGAGCTCACAAGCTACTTTACTTTTCTTCCTTTATTTTTGTCAATGTAGTTGTTTTATGACCGTAACTTAGGAGTCATTTTGAAGAAATTAGACTCATAATAAAGGTGAAGAAAGGCAGGTATGAGGGTATTCCTCTCGGATCATTCTAATTATCCCACCTGTGGCTTTTAGCTCTTAGAAGCCCTCATAAGACATAAAATCTTTACACGCTGGAGAGTTCTCATTAACTGACATAGAATGTCTGGAAGGCTCTTGTTTGCCATAGGGGGTTGTCAGGAGATTATTAATGGGTTGATGCATTTAAATTCATTGAGAGCAGAGCTAAATTTAGCCTAATACATTAAACAGTATGCTTTTATATCAGGGGAACATGAAATTATTTTTGCTATTGTTCTATTTCATGGGAGATTTGTTTTGTAATGAGTTGTGATATATTTACACATATTTCTATTAAAATGGAGAAAATTTTTCATATCTCTTGCTGTTACTCAATTAAAACAATGGTGGAAACTTACAATGTGATTACTATGAAGATTTCCAAAGGTAGATTTGGATTTTTGCTTGTATCATGGTGCATTTTGGGGCTGTACCTTTGACTAAAGTCATTTTTAATTGATTTACACTTTATCATCAAATACAATGTTTGGGGGGAAGGAGAATTCATTTTATCTCAATGTACCTCCACTTCTTCCTATGCTTGTATGTCATTGCTAACATGATTTAAAATCATATATGAGCAGATTCCTAGTGATAGGTGTGACACAAAAGCTTTATATGAATAGATTCCTACAGTGATAAGCATGACATGAAGGCTTTGAGATTTTGAGCCTCTGGTGTAAAGAATTTTGAACCCTTTTTGGTGTTTTGCTATGTGCTAGATTCTGGTTGTCTAGTTGCATACATTTTAAATGACCATGAATTGCAAACTGTATCGCACTAGTCTGGGAATGAGAAGACTACTGTCAGGAGTTAGAGGTCTTTCTTCTCCATCCTCTTTACCACTTCAAGCAGGCCTTCCATCAGTTTTTATATTCTTTTTCACATTGCCAGATAGGTTTTAATAGTGCACAGAATGGTCTCATCCATCATTCAATCTCCGAATGCAGAAATAAGAGAGGAGACCCGAGTGGACTCTCTCTCTCTGTTGTGTTGGGGGAGGAGAAGTGATTCAGTGTGACTGCATCTGCCTGAAGTAGTGGTGCTGGGAGGTGTTGGCTGTAGAAGCCAGTTAGTATCCTTCTCATTGAGGATGGAGGCTCTCAGCTGGACAGGCTCGGCAGCTCAGAGCACAGACTAAACAACGAGCTCCTTGATAGTAGCCCTGTTTAGTATTAACTCTCATTGTAGGAAACTTTACGAGAGTGAGGCCTCTCAGTAATGGGGGTTATAGTTCTCTTACATAGATTCAAAAACAACCCAAAATGGACAGGAGAGACGCTTCCATTCAAAATTGACATTGCTTACAGCTTCATTGATTCCTAAATTAAATGAGATTTTCAAAAGTGGAGATCATCTTGCAAAGTAGTTTACGTAATTCTGGATTGTTTGCAAGAATTAAGGAGGAGATTTTGATCTTTTTCTTGTCAGTTGAAAGGTTCCAGTTTTTTTTTTTTTTAATATACCATGTCATTTTCATAGACATTTCTGTTGGCCTTCTTGTTTAACAGAGGACAATAGAGAGTTATGTGGATAAACGCATGGGTACAACATACGGCCCTCCTGCAGGAAAGAAGATGACTGTTTTTATTGATGATGTGAATATGCCAATAATCAATGAGTGGGGAGATCAGGTACGTTGATTCCATTGTACATTTTATCCATCACTGGTTTATTCCTTTATTTTTTATTTTTAAATTTTTTTTGTCTTTCTGAGACAGGGTCTTGCTATGCAGTTCAGGCTGGCCTTAAGCTCACTTTGTAGCCCAGGCTGGTCTCGAACTCGAGACGATCCTCCTGCCTCAGCCTCCTGAGTGCTGGGGTTACAGGCGTGCGCTACCATGCCCAGCTGGTTTGTTCCTTTATGAGTAAATATTTTTTCTGCTTTTCAGTATTCGATTCCTGAATCCTAATAAGCCTCATTCTTTAGAAGCCTTCAAAGATTTAGGTTCTGGGGAATAGAAGGAATGACATTTTAATTCTGAAAGTTGTCGTTCTTAGGTTACTAATGAGATCGTCCGGCAGCTGATGGAACAGAATGGATTCTACAACCTAGAGAAGCCTGGGGAATTTACTAGTGTGGTGGACATCCAGTTCCTGGCAGCCATGATCCATCCTGGGGGTGGACGCAATGACATCCCGCAGCGACTGAAGAGACAGTTCTCCATATTTAACTGCACGTTGCCCTCCGAGGCGTCCATGGACAAGATCTTTGGTAAAATGCGCGTTGGTGTGGCGCTCGTGCAGCACTTCTCCTTGTGTTCCTACCAGAAAATTTCCACCAGAGGTCAACCCAGAACACTGGGTGGTGCCTCTGTAGCACTTCATCGTTTTTCAGTAGTGTATTTTTGTTTTGTATGAGATTTATTATAGATGTGCACTGAATTGGATGCTTTATTGGGTCTTTTGTATTTGCTTTTGTTATTTAAGTATTGGTTGCCAGTTTCTTAAGCGAGGAGATTGAATATCCATTGAACATGCACATGAGTAGTTTCCTCTTGGAAGGATGGTTACTACAATTCCATGTTAGAGGTACTTGTGTCTGACAGTTTAACCAACCCATACAATGATTTTGACTAAAGAACTAATGAGTAGATAAGGGCAGAAAAGAGCCCCAATCTGATCATCAGAGCAATTGACAGGATTGTACTCAATTATCAACAGATTAAATTCACATAATTTAATTGAGGAACTGTTGCCCTAGTATGTAACCATGTATATTCAACTGAGTAATAAAAGTGCATTTATGACTGATCTTGGAATTAGTCTTTGCAGAAAAATAGTATAAAGTTATGGACACCTCCCTCTTGGTGTTAATTTATAACTTCTGAAGCTGCTGTTATGAAAAACTCATTCAGTTTAACCTAATTAATTTCTGGCAGACAAAAATGTCATCCTAGTGCCCTGTGGCAGTAATCTGCCTTCAGAAACAGCAGTAAGCAAAGTTTGGAAATCGAATGACATTTGAATTATCTACACTTGGGAAAAGTAGATTAGAGAGGATGACTATTATCACTTTTCTATTGCTTGGAGAATTTTACACATAAAATAAATAAAAATATCTTAGAATACTTGAGAAGGCAAGAGAATAGTGAAATCTTAGAGAACTTTGGAAAACATTTCACTTATCTTCTTATACATCTGCTTTGTATACTTATTAGTGTCACTGATTTACTAATATTGGATTTGTGTAGCCAGA